AAAGGGGGGGGAATCTCTCAGCCCTTCCTTCTACCTTTGATTTCCTTTTCCTCAGTGAAGTCTTTTTATCTGTCTCTGTTAAACATTATTCAGGTAGTCTGACAACTCCTGATACTGAGAGATTTGCATTTATCCACTTACATGCATACAGAAGTGTTTGTACCGTGGATGGGTTGAGAGGATCGCAACAGGGCAGAAATTTCTATGAACAGTCTCAGGGCTGGAGGGATTTGTGTGAATCTTCAACTCTAAACTTGATTTGCATCATATTATGCAGTGTTTATATAACGTATTTAACCTGGTTACTGAATGAATCTATTTTCTAAGGAAGAAAGGAACATAAAAGCATATTGTGTGAACACAGTCAGTTCTCTTGGAGGGATATGTACTTCCTTGAACTGGGGTGACTTAATGAAAACTAAGAGTGTTTGTTCCATCCTAGAGTATAAAGAAACAATTCTAGGCTATTTAGTTAGCTTTAAAACAGATTTTGTTCTCCTGTGATGAACAAATGCAGCTGAAAAAGCCTTCAATATTTCCTTAAATTTAAGATATGTTTTCAAATATGTTTCTTAAATATCCGGTGAACAATGTTTCTTGGGAGCCATGCAAATATCTGAATCAGTACATAGAACTCTTTCAACAACATTGGTATTCTTTCAATGAATGAATGTTCTTGATTGATTCTGTAAGCAAAGATGCTAAATAGCATTGAGATCTTGTAGGATATACAGTATGAACTATTATATATTGATTACATCATTACCCCTTTATTCACAAAAACCTTATGAACATATGTGCCACTTTGCAGCCAAATGGATGCTGATTGAGATATCAGAGTATCATGCTCTGATGACATATACTGCTCAGTTGCATCGGTTACAGCTCCTTGAATACATATATTTCTGATATACAATTTGGGCTGACTTATTGTACTAAACTCTTATTTTAAATCTTTTTCTCATAATTATTTTGTTTACATTATATAATCAGGACCCTCAGATTCAAATGTGGTAGCACAAGTATATGATATGGCAAACACTGTACTTAAACAACATATACAGTCGACTTGCAACCATTTGCAAAACAGTCACTCACAACCTAAATTTGAACTTAATGACTGTCACCCCACCCCCACAATCATGTGATCACAATTCAGGTCAGTTGTACCTTCGCATAGTCTGGCAAAAAACACCATTGGTTAATCTGGATTCACACTTATGACTGTGATATTACTTATGACCGTTAAAAATGGTAGTAAAATTAGGTCTGGTTACAGACTTTACAGGTATCATTGTAAAATGTATTCAGATAAAAGCATACCTAAAATTCTTTCAAATGGGTGGGAAGTAAGTGGCTTTCCAGATGTCACTGAACCAGAACTGCCAGAATCTTTCACCATGCATGTAATTCAGCAACATAGCAAGGCCATTGGTTTCCGGAGATATGACTTTTCAGATCAGTTCTTTGTGCTAATTGTACAGCAATCTCTTAAACAAAGATGTTAGAGTCAGGCTTGTATTCACATTCCTCCCGATTATTATGCTACTTCTCTTGCATGCAAAGGACTGTTTGCCTGTACTTGAGGGTTGGCTACATTGGCCTACAAATCCCAGAATGCCTCACTCTGCATGGTAGACTGGAGAGTTCCTATGTTGGGTTATGCTTTTAATCAAGCCTGGATAATGCCAAGATGAATTAGTCTTTGCTTAACAACCACAATTGGGCCTGGCAACTCCATCACTAAATGATACAGTCATTAAGTGAAATATCACATGACCACAATGGCCTTACCTCATTTCCATTGCAATAGTTAAGTGAAAAACCTAAGGTTGTTAAGCAAGACACATGACCTCAACTTGCGATTTTACTGCCAGCTTCTCCATTGATTCTGCTTGTCAGAAGTCAGCTGTGAACGGCGCAAATGGCAAGCGTGTGACCACAGGACATTATGACAGTCATTAAACACCACCAGTTCTGAAGTGCTGGAATCATGATCACATGGCCATGGGGATGCTGCAGTTGTGTGAGGGCTGGTCATAAACTTACTTTTTCAGTAGCAGAATAATTTCAAACCACCACTAAACAGGGCAGTTGTAAAGCAAGTATAGTTCAATATTTTTACATTCAAAATACAGGACCTCTTAAAAAAATAACCGCAGAGAAAGCAGAGATATTCATATATACTAAACAGAGGAGAAAGAGGTCGGTAGATGGCAGGATTGCTGCTGGAGGAAATGATATATGGGTAGGCTAGCTAACTCCTTTAAACAGAAGGAAAAAATTAACCCATCAGCCTGTAAATGATTAGCACAAGGAAAAAATACTTGTCACAAGCTGCCTCCTTGTGTTCATCCATAGGGAGAATTCTAGGCAGTTTCTTGAGACAAGGGAAATTAGGGCTTAAAGAAGACAAATTTCACCTACTTAGCTTCTGTTGATTATAGAGTCCACAGCCAGGAATACCTGCACTTTGACACAGTATTGTATTATTCTCTAAAACCTTACAATCTCACATGACTTCTGTTGCAATTTTCTGAATTCACATCCTGTTTACTGGCTGCTGTCTGCTCATGCATATTCTCTGGGTTTTACTATACCTCTTTGCCTTCCATCATACAAGGAATAATTTCTCCCCTTTTGCAGCTGTACCTTCCTAAATGCAATACAATTATGCATCCAGTAACATCTGTGTATATTTGAAATACTGGTGAATATATTTGTGTATATTCTCTGCTTTTCCAAGGCATTTTTCATTAATGACTATCTGGGCCTAAGTAAAACAAAGAACAGTTTCTTCTACAGTAAGTCAAACCACTACTCTATTTTAAGGCAGTGTTAATTATAGTTGCTGGTACTAGGTCTCCCATGTGTCAGAAAATGAAACTTTCTAAACTTTTCTTGAAATGTTGTAGATTGAAATGGTTGTTGTTTACATGCAAAACAGATTTTGAAGCTTTTTCACCAATCCCACCCTCTCAGTTTATCTGGTCAAGATTTAGTAGGCATATGCCAAAGTGTAATTAATATTATTCTCCTGAGCCAACTAATGTTCAAACTTCTGTTGATTTTTCAGATACACAAAATTGTTTCTTAGGCATACCCTGTCAAAGCCCTACTATATATTTGAACAATTCCATAGCAAAGCTATTCTAATACAATTGTCTTTTCATAAGGCAAACATCTAAGAATGAACTGTATTGATTTGACTGACAAATCATAACTCTAATTCCTGCACGCCATCTAGAAAGTTTTCATATCAAATGTCTGAATGATATAAATGATATAAAAAGTTAAACGTATTTGCAAGTTAAAAATGTTAAGAAAATATTTGTGTGTCACCTGGAAACACTGTATGAGATTGGCAGCCATGTAACTCTGTAAATAAATAAATATATTTGCTTCCTATGCTATTAATGAAATCATAACTAATAATGCAGGGATCTATATTGTTCTGTAAAGGAAATTAAACAAATATACATACATGTTTGCTAGTATGTTAACAGCATCTTTTTCTTTTCGTATTTTTTGATGTAGCGGTTAAAGCATCAAACTAGAAACTGGGAGATGGTGAATTCTAATCCCACTTTAGGCATGAAGCCAGCTGGATGATTTTGAGCCAGTCATTCTCTCTCTCTCTCAGCCCTAAGAAGGAGGCAACGGAAAGCTACTTCCAAAATATTGCCAAGAAAGCTCCAGGACCTATCCAAGTAGATACCAAGAATAAAAAAAACTCACTCGAAGGAGCACATACAGTCACAAACACATATTCACAAATATTTTCTAAGTGTCTTGTGTAAACAGCACATATGAGCATACTATCAATACTGTTAGTTATCCACAGGGTACAATTACAGTTCACATTAACCAAGTACCAGCCAATTAATTTCTAGAAAATAACATTTTTTTGTTTCTTTTTTGTGGGGACTTATGACTGACACATATAAGTGAAAATATATAATCTGCATACCTTTCAGATTTTTGCTTGTTTCATGCTTTTAAATATATTATCTTGTTTCAGTTTTATGTGGGGGCTTTCTTTTTACGTGTTATTGTTCTTTGTAAATTACTATTTCTAATGAAAAGCAGTAGAGAAAGATTTTAATAAGTTAAGGCCTGCAAATATTCTTTTGAGAAGTAAAGAATCACCATCCTATAGAACATTCTCCCCACTCTGGACATTTGTCAAATGTGTAAATGTTCAACTCCCAGGACTTTCCATAATTCCTATGGTAATTAGAAAACTGTGTTAAGTTCATTTTATCAAATTTTGCTCTTTTTCAATTAATTTGGCTTTATGTATATGTTTTAATCTGTACAGGTAATCCTCAACTTACAACAGTTGATTTACTGATGGTTCGAAGTTACAACGGCACTGAAAAAAATGACTTATGACCATTTTTTGCCCTTATGGCCGTTGCAGCATCCCCATAGTCACGTGATTTACATTCAGATGCTTGACAACTGGTTCATATTTATGACCGTTACTGTGGCCCCAAAGTCATGTAATCATCTTTTGCGATCTTCTGATAAGCAAAATCTATGGGGAAGCCAGATTCACTTAACAACCTATTACTAACTTAACAACTGCAGTGTTTCACTTAACAAATGTGGCAAGAAGAGTCATAAAATGGGGAAAACTCACTTAAATTACTCAGTTAGCAACAAAATTTCTTAGCTCAATTGTGGTCAGAAGTCAAGGACTACCTGTAATTGATACAAATACCTGGCTCAACATAAGCAAGGCTTTGTTTGATTAGCCCCTGGATGGAACTCTCAGGTTCCAGGATGATGGGCGTCATGGACAGAATTAGATTTAGATGACAACTCCTGCGTTCAAATACAGACTCAGTCATGCAGTTTATTCTGTGACAGTGGGCTAGTTACTAATTTACTTAATGTATTCCATAAGATTGTTGTGAGGTCTGGGATTGGATTAAATGTGAAGAGCCTGGATATATCATCCATATAACATTTCCATATAATAATTCTCAATCAGAAAGACTCAAATCTTATATTTTTCAATAAGCTTTTTTCCATGATCTAATATACAAACGCAAAGGTAGTAAAGTGCTTTTCTGGTGCAAACTTGGATGAAATACATTGAAGTCAGCTTTTTGTATTTTATGTAAATAATCTTCAATAGCAACCTGGAAAGAAAGAGGATATAATAATTATAATATATAAACTAGATATTAAATGTATTATAAACAATGAAATATATAAACAATAATTATTTCTATTGTTGCTATAAAATGCCAAGGTATTAATGGCAAATGGAACACTGATTTTTAGGTCACCGTGTCGTGCTAGTAGCAGCAAGAGGCTCACATGAAATTCATATTTCGTTTTCAGATGGAAACTTTAGATGTCACTCTGTACCATAGAAAACTCTCACAAACACAAACTGGCTCCAGATAGTTCTCAACGTACGACCACAATTGAGCCCCAAATTGTTGTTGCTAAGTGAAACATTTATTAAGTGATTTTACCCCATTTTACAACCTTTCCTGCCACAGTTAAGTGAATCATTGCAGTTGTTAAATGAATCTAGCTTCCCCATTGACTTTGCTTGTCAGGTCACAAAAAGTGATCACATGACCTCCAGACACCGCAATCATCACAAATATGAGAGTCTGAATTTTGATCATGTAACCATGGAGCTGCTATAACAGTCGTAAGTATAAAAATGGTTGTAAGTCACTTTTGTCAGTGCTGTTGCAACTTTGAACAGTCACTAAATAAACTGTTGTAAGTTGAGGACTACCTGTATTAGGTTTTTTATACACTTAACATAGTTATTTTACTTGGGAAGAAAAATCCAACCTTCCTTCCTAAGTCAGACGGCAAAATCTGATCTTATCTATATCCCTGCAACGCCATAACATACCTCATAACTGTTGGAGGCCCAAAAAATAGTTTTGGAAAAGGATTTCCATCTCAACTTTAGACAATTTGTTCCACCAAAAGAAATCACAGCCATACTGACTGTACTATGTTTTTTAAAAAATCCCAATCTACATCGTGTTTGTGTGAACATCATTAATTATGTTAAACTGACAAAGTATTTACCAGAACACTCGATTAAGTCAAATGTTATGAAAGAAAAGCCAAAGGGGATAGGTAAATAAACAAGACTATCTGAAAATGTGGCTGGATATTAGTGATAAAGCTTTGTAGTTCAGACATAGTCTCAGAATGGTGTTTGAAGGCTAAATGCCATTATCACAATTTTTTGTGAAGTTAAAAAAAAAGAGCAATACAACCACTTACTGTACAAAGGAAGGCAGGAAATGCCTTGGCAGGGACATTCTTCTTGAAGGACCTAGCCTGGAAAGAGACAGACAAAATGATGCATTTAAAATTAAGAAATGTGTCAAGGTGAGAAAGTTTTTCATGAGTTGGGTTCCGTGATGAAATGGTAAATTACTATTCTACTGAAGGAAGAAAAAAATTAACTGGGCAACTTCATACACACTTCAAAGCTAAGAGAAAGTGGGAGACACAGTTGTGAGTAGAGAGAGCTGACAGATTTTAAAAAGAAGAAAGAAAAACAGATAAATAGTGGCTAGGATAGGACAGATCTGATGTTTCTAGTGCCAGTGGAAAAGATGACTTTAAAAAATGATTACACGGAGATTATATGTTCATGCAAGCTTATTGTTAAATAAAATTGTAATTGTTTATAAAGAATTGGCTATCTGGGTAAATGAGAGACACTGTATAATGCCCTGACCCCACATGCCTTACCCCTAAATGGAAAATACCTTATAAAGAGAAAACTCTTTTAAGAAATGTTCAGCATGTGGAAAAATTACAGGTGGTTCTTGACTTATGGCCATTTATTTTAATGATGGCACTGAAAAAATGACTTAGGACCACTTCTCACATGACCATGACAGTGTCCCCAAGTCATGTGGGCAAAATTCATGGGCTTAGCAACTGGCATGTATTCATGAAAGCTGCAGGACCCCAGCCTTATATATTAGTCATTTGCGATCCAAGGGGGCTTCTGACAAGCAAAGTCAACAGGCCAAGCAGATTTGTTAACAACCACAATTCATTTAATGACCGTGGCAAAAGAAAGTCATAAAATTGGACACCTCACTTAGCAACCTATTGCTTGGCAACAGAATTTCTGGTTGAACATTGAGGACTATGTGTATTGCATTGGGTATCAGAAATCTGGGTTAGCTACAAGCTTCATCATTTCTGATATACTGCAAATCAGAAGAATGTTTCTTTTGAAAGACAAAATAACAGCGTCAGATTATGAAAAAAAGATAACAGCATATTGTTGGGAAATGTCCTCCTACTCTTGTCTGGTAATATGAGAGATCACGTAACTCCTTCCTTCCTTCCTCCCTCCCTCCCTCCTCACCTGTGAATCGTATCTATTCACTTCCCTATCAAAAACAACACTATTTGCATAGCTTGCAAACAGGGTGCTGGATCTAAACATCATCAACACTGCTATTTCATTCCAATTTGTGACATATACCTCAGCATAAAATCTGGCCTGGAGCTTCCTACTCTGAGTTTAACTTTGAACTGATGACCAAAAGGTTTTCCTTTTTTTTATGTTGGTTTCACTTCCCAAAGAGTAAAGATGTTTCACAATTTTAATTCCACCCACAGAAAGAAAGCCTACTTCTGCTCTTACTCATTGTTTTGCTCCTGTTAATTTCCTCACTTTCTCGTACGCTTTGCGTAAGTTGGAAGCACCCCCATAGCTTTCTTTTAACTTTTTACTGCAATGAATCAACAGAGCCTCACAATGTTTTCAAACCAAACAAAGTAACTGCAGTAATTCTGGTCTGCTTTCTTGTCTTTTCCAGTTATGCTAAAAGTCAGAAAGTATAACCTGTTTTATAGAACTGCACAAATATTTCTATGCTACTATCTATAAACAGGTGAATCTATAAACAGAAAGCTGAATAAACATGGATGGGAAAGTAAAGCTTTGAAGCAAAAGAAGAAATCCAATTGGTAGCACAAATAGGTGGAAGACAAGTAGTAAAGCAAAGACTCTATATTATAATTATCTTCATAAGACTCAATGTAATGAGTCCTAATGGCAACCAGGTAGCAATGCCTCCAGTTCCAGATGCAGGGGAATGTCAGGAGAAGAGTACAGGTAGCCCTTGACTTATAACCATTCATTTAGTGACCATCTGAAGTTACAGTTACTGAAAAAAGTGACTTATGACCAGTTTTCATACTTACATCTTTTGCAGCATCCCCGTGGTCACGTGATCAAAATTCGGGCCCTTGGTAATGGCATGTATTTATGCACCATGCACTGCCCATGGTCATGGGATCACCATTTGTAACCTTTCCAGCTTCTGACAAGCAAAATCAATGGGGAATCCAGATTCGCTTAACCACTGCAGTGATTTGCTTAACAATTGTGGCAAAAAAGAGACAAAATGAAGCACAACTCTGCTTAGCAACTGAAATGTGGGGCTCAACTGTAGTTGTAAGTTGAGGACTACCCATACACAAGGACTACCTTATGCTAAATGACTGATCCAGTTTTATATAAAAAAAATTCTCAGCAGCTGTTAAGTGAACACAGTAATCACATGATGCTGGCCAGTTGCCGAGCACCCAAAATGCAGTTATGTAACAAGGGAAGCAGCCATCAGAACTTTGGAACCAGGTCATAAGAACCTTTGTTAAGGTTCCTTTGCAGCTTCAAATGGTTGCTAAGTGACCAATTGTAAGTCAAGGCCTACCTGTATGTCCCAAACTCCTGCTTTTGAGCATCTGAGAAATGAAATATTGAACCAAAATGTTTTTTTCCTGATCTAAAGAGTTCTTATGCTATCTAACACCAGAAAGAGAATCCCACCCCCACCCCCAATTTGCAGTATTAAATTAGGCATGGAAGGCAGAGGAGAGGAGAAGGGAAAAGCAAAACATTAGCAGGAATTATATTTATCAAGGCTACATACAGTTTTGATATCATAACACTGAGATAATTTATGTAAGCTTAAAAACAGATGGATTTCGCCCTCTGTTGGCCATTGAAGAATATGCTCACATATTCACATATGCTTGCAACTACAGTAGTTTCAACATTCATTTACATTTAACTTTCCTTTATATTAATCAGTACTTTCTCCATGTTAATTTGCATGCTTTCTTCTAAAGTCTATGTGAAACATAAACACACTACACATGTAAAATGTATAAACACATTTTATAAATGCTATGTCCCAAATAATAACCTTTGCCAGTATTTTCCCCAATAAATATATTTGCTACACAATTTCTCGAATGTACACTTTTTCACTGGAGTATCAAACTGCTGCTTTGCAGCTATTTTTTCTGCTATGGCTAAGGATTTGTCCAGCTGCATTAAAAATGCAATCTTTGTATGACAGAACTCCCATCAAAGAGGGGAGAAAGTAAACAAAAAAAGCATTATTGTCAATGTTATTTCTAACAGTCTGGACAGGAAACACTTATTCCAAAGAACTAGTATCACAAAACTCTGAACACTAATATTTATTAAAAGAAAGTTTAAAGTTACAACTCAAGAATCCCAGCAACATCCTGATTTTCAAACAAGGCACAAATACAGTTAAAGATAACAAAACTTATCTCTTTTCTCATGTCCAACCAGAGGAAGCCAGCTCTTTTTAAAATGTGGGTTTCTTGGCATCTGTTCATTTGTACAACTTAAGTTATTCAAGTTCCACAATAGTTTTCATCAACCTTCCCCAATATGATAAAGTGTACTACCAGCCAGTATGTCCACTATCTATTAATGCACGCATTTCAAGAGCGCTGGCCTACAATATTGTTAATGAAATTTTGATAAAATCCAGAAACTCACATGGTCCAGATGAACATGGGCTTGACTTGCAATGTCATATACAATATCTTTTATTTTCTTCACCTCATTTTTTCTTATGAAATCCTCTTGTGAAGCACCATGCTGACATACATGGAAGGTAAACAGGTACAGATTTTAAATATTCCTGGGAAATACACTGGGAGAATATATTATTATCTTGAAGCTATATTACACGGATGTACATGTTATATACTATATAACATATTTTTGAAGTCATAAGGATAGTTCAGAAAGTGTAATCTTATGTTTGTATCAACAGAAAATCCCACAGTAATTTCCCATCATAAAACATTGCTTGGTTTCAGGAAGATTTTACAATAGTGTTTGCTATTCTCTGTCTTTGGCAGAGAATTAGCAGTTACAACTGAAGACATCTAAATGGTAGCAGAGTGAAAAAGGCTTTATTAGAAAGCATCATGTCATAATTCTAATACCAGTTACTGTTGTTAACCAAAGATTACTTGTACGCATAAAAATAAATGAAAATATAGACATAAAGTTTTTAAGCTTGCAAGCAGAAGAACATGTACACATCATTTTTTTGATATAGAGGTCAACAAATAAACTGGAATGTCACAGCAAGATTTTTAGGCTTCTAAGAGGATAATAATGATAAGGTGTTTTAAAGATTAGATTTCAAATGTTTTAATAATTTCCCATCTAGTCATATTGCCAAAACAAAATGTAAGTCATGATGTACAGGCACTTCCATTGAAGGACCAATTCTGAAATGGTTAAAACTAGAAATGATACACTACTGTCAGTAGAATTTGCATTTTGCTACCTGATTTATCAATACATCAAAAATAGGAATATTGTTACAAACTGGATCTCAGCTTTACTGTCTTACCAGCATGCAAATATCCATGGGGAGAAACACCTTCCTTCTGCTAGCATGGTATGGAGTAGCCCTTAAACACGTGACAATGCCTTGTGCCTTCCCTATGTGACTGGCTGCATGGTCTGCGTGGATGTCCCTCACACCTGTTAAGTACAGAAAAGAAAAGCCTAAAGAATGCTTATTGAAATGGCCAGGCAACAAAATCTAATCAGAACCAATAGGTAAGCCATTGTTTAAAGAACAGTTAAAATGCAAATAATATACATTGAAAGTAGAACATATTATTGGGAATTGGGAAAAAGAAGATCTCCGCCTTTTTACTGCCCTCCTGTGATCTAAGGCCATTCATGTGATAATTGCATCTATTAACATATTTTCTGCAAGAAAATGCAATCACATAGGTAGGTCATGAGCAAAAACTACAGGTAGTCCTTGACTTATTTTCCTGAGACGGTACTTAGCGTTGTATACCGAAACTTTAAGCCTGTCCCTGGAAAAAGAAAATCAAAAGACTTGATTCAACAAGTATTTTTTTTAAAAAAATCAAATAAATACAGATGGCCCTCGACTTACAACAGTTCATTCAATGACTGTTCGAAGTTACAATGGCACTGGAAAAAGTGACTTATGACCATTTTTCATCTTTACGACCATTGCAGCAACCCCAAGATCATGTGATCAACATTCAGATGCTTGGTAACTGACTCATATTCATGACGGCTGCAATGTCTCGAAGTCATGTGATCACCTTTTGCGACCTTCTGACAAGTCAATGGGGAATCCAGATTCACTCAACCGCCATGTTACTTTGCTTAACAACTACAGCAAGAAAGGTTGTAAAAATGGGGCAAAGCTCACTTAACAATTGCCTTGCTTGGTAACAGAAATCTTGGGACTCAATTGTGGTCATAAATCGAAGACGTCCTGTACTGGTACATCCATCCACGTGGCAAGTGCCAGAGTAACCTACCAAGTGTTTCTAGTGTGAGATAAAGGAGTGCACTCTGTGTATTTTCAGCATATGTCTCAAGTTCACTGATATCCTGATACGCTCGGTCATCCAGATTCTTTTCCTGTGCGTTTGTAAACGGGGGGGGGGGGGGGGGAGAAGGAGAGTATATATTGAAACAACCGATCACTGAGGTTAACTTAAAAAAATAGAAGCATGTCACTTTTATTAAAAGAAAGCATTATCTTCTGAGTTAGGGACATGTAGATTACTTTTCCTACACTAAGTTACTATCTTGTTTCCCTTTTTTAAAAAAAGAGGAGAAAAATAGGGAAAGAAAAAACAGAGGGAAAGAAGTTGCTAAGCACTGAGAACAAAAGAAGTCTTAATCTTTACTAGAAGCATATAATAACTTTTAGGATGCTTTACCTTTACAAATTTTCCTCTTAGCTAGAAAGAACACTTGTCTCCTTGATCTACAGTCATTGTAAACAGTGGAACCTTGGAAATTGATCCTATTATACAGCTAATTATGTACCTCTGAAATAGCTGGAATCTGCTAATGGAAAGAGGTATTATTTAGCTGCCTGCTAATGTAATGATTAAATAGCTCAAGGTAATGCTACATGCTTTTTGAAAGTTAATCAAATTGAAAATAAAAGGAATATTTTGGTTGCCAAAATATGATTTTTTTCAACAAAGACAGAAAGACAGAAGATTACAATGCCTCTATTATGCAGACCATATCTTCCACCGAGCTCTGTTACCAAACTGGTTAATCAGTTTATTTATTCGTTATTTATTAGTACAAAACCAATAAACATTTCTCAATAGCCACTTGCATAATTTCTAGAGGGAGTGAAATCATGGCATTTATGCAGCTTCCTAAATACCAATCCAACATAGCTACTCTACCTTTCATAATACAGTAAAATTGTGTTATCTTTAAGGAAACTGAATTAAAATCACCAAGGAAGAAAAATATAGTAATAATCATAACCTGCATTTATGTTGATGTTTCAATATTTTGTTCATACTTCAGTTTATTATATATTACCTTTACAGAATATTTAAAAATATATTCCTAATGTAAACATATTATACTCTCTTACAGTACAACAAACACTTCAGGACATTTTTCAGCCTTTCAAAATTAAGCATTTTCCCACAGTGGTTGCAATTGCATCTTTACCATGACATACAGTCATACTTTTTGAAAAAAAACGATAAAGCTTACAGGATGCTGCTATACATGTCTATGAGTTCTATATTAAACGCCATGGCTCATTTCAAATCGTTCTGGAGACTGTTATTACAAAAAGACACTAAGAATTCTATTACAAAAACATAACCTTCAACACAGAATTCAGTTACAAGGACTTATCTTTATTCCAGTTAATCAAGAATAATGGGGGGGGGAGGGGGATGTAATTTTTCTTTTTTCAAAATAATGTAAAACTTACCCTTTGGTCAATAATATTCATAAGCCATCTTTTGGTCAGGTTTTGCCTCTTAACAGCCTAAAATCAGATGAACAGGATATATCTATATCTACATCTATCTATTTATATATAGAGAGAAGAGAAAAAAACACCAAGAAGAAATCAAGCAATCAAACCAAGATAATCAAGTCACCACTGCTGGCTTAGATTAAAGGTCTATTTAATCTAACATTCTGTTTTCTACAGTCAACAATCAGATGCTGTAGGAAATTGAAATGATAATTTAATCAAGAGAGAGGAGGTGCAGCTTTTGAAAGTAAATTAATAAATGCAGTGAAAGATATATTGCTATCCAGGCTGGGCTATACCGCTGTGCATCTCTTTTAACACGTGAAATAAATCAAAATCAACTCTCTTTGAATCTTTAAAACAGCCACGGGTCTTAGTATAGCAGGGGCCTTGAAGTGCAAGGTGGTGAAGGCAACTGCAGCAGGGACAAGTCTAGGGTGGCTTCTAGAAGTGGCTGTGGCTTTGTACAACTCCAAAGCCACAGCATGCCAAGTAGCCTGTGAGTTGCAGGGGAACAAGCAGTCCAGAGGGACATGGTTCTGAAGCTGCTTACTGTCCTGCAGGGCAGGGTGCAGAGTGGCTAAAAGGGCTGATGAGAGAGAACAGACAGTTGGGGGAATTGAAGAGGAGGGCTAACCTTGGAAGAACCGAGGTTCAGGCCCTGGAAGTACCAAGCCCAGAATGGCTTGGCTTGGGTCCTTGGCTAAAGGCTGGTGGAAATCAGTTAATAATGGCAATAAGTTATGCCAGGATTGCTGTTGCTAAGCAATGTAATGATGTGACATCATGCTTTACAATTGCATTGCTTACTGACACAAATTCCATTCTCAATTACCATTACAACTCAAGGATTATCTGTAAATTGCTGATATGAATTGATCTGCAAAGCAACTAGTATCCTCTTAAATGTAAGGTCACTAGCCATTAAGTTGAACATCTGCAACAAAATTTTTACAAGAAAGAATTTTAATCATATTATTACAAATCTGTGTATAGAGATCTTAAAAGATAATGTAGTCCAACATTTACAGCCATTTGCTTTGTAGTAAAGACTTGGATTTAAAATACCCAACATTTTCATCTCTTAACAAATATCCTTTTTAAGTGACTTAAATGTCAAATAAGACTGGCTAGACCTGGAACCTTGCAATCAACTCAAAAAAGCATCTGACAATGTTAGTGTTTTTAAGGGGACTAGTCTGCATCTTAGGTTTTCAGCTGGGATACAAGTAAAATTGGAATGCAAAGTTGTAACTGGTGACTGAGTAAGTAAGTGAAGGTTATATTCAGGAAAACTTTTATCTGAAACGCTATTCTGCTGCTATGAAGTAAGATAGGCAGTTCTAATTTATATGGGGACCAAAGGACAGGCAAATTCCTCTGAAAAACCTGAAGGTCACAGTGGAAAAGATTAGGCAACGGTTGGCATTATTTGTTTACTTTCCAAGGAAAGAGGGCATCATTTGCATCAGAGTGCCCAGTTGCCTTTCTCCATGCCTTCCTGGTAAAGGTCACGCCCAAGTTTCTAACCTACTGCATGGAAGATATTTCCTGAACAAATCTCTCCCTTATCTTAACTTCAATTCTTTTCAAACCAGCTGACAAAAACTTTTCAAGAGTATTTCCCACAAATATAAAAGCACTATAATTACAAACAAATTTAAACGTAAGGACTATGTTATACCAAACATTTGACCCACTTATTCCCTTTTGTTCTGCCCCTACCCTATACTGCTGACCAGCATTGACAAAACTTGGGTGCATGGTTTGTTTGCCACTGTGAGATGGGAAATATAGAAATGTATATTAATATAAACCTAAAGTGGGCTAATATAATTTATAACTCAGAGAACACCCCATCAAGCTCACTTGCTCAAAGGAAAAAAATATCCCAAAAGGAAAAAACATGAAAATTCTAGCCCAGTGGTTCTCAACCTGTGGGTCGGGACCCCATTTGGGGTCGATCGACTATTTCACAGGGGTCGCCAAGCAAGGCTGTCCGCCATTTTTTTTGTCCGCCATTTTTTTTGACGGCCATTTTTTCCCCCTTTTCCGGCGGGTGCCTTACCTCCCTTGGGCTGGGCCAGCTGGTGGTCGGCCTGCTCCGTCTCTGCCGCTTGCCAGCTACGCCTCGGCCGGCGCAGGGGGCAGAACCACGCATGCGTGGCGCTCCTGGGCAGGGAAAGTCCTCGACTTACGACCGGTTGGGTAGTCCTCGACTTACGACCAGTTTAGTCCTCGACTTACGACCGGTTTAGTCCTCGACTTACGACCGGTTGGGGTCGCAGCATTAAAAAGGTTGAGAACCACTGTTCTAGCCTATGTACTGCTTAGAACAGCATTCAGTTACCCGAAAAAATATTTAATGCATTGCTTAGCCTTATACCTTCCACAGCTCTATTGCCACTGGTTGTGGTGGTGGATTATCCCGGTAAATGTCTTCTACAGCACTCCTCCAAAACTCTATCCGCATCAAACCAATGGTTTTCTCAGTTACAGAGTCTCTAATCTGGAACAGAAACACAGTACTAGTGATAGTCCAATTACATTACTTTTTATCACATTGAATATACGATACGCTCCCACAGAGAGGGCCTCCTCAGGGTGCTGCCAACCAGACAGTGTCGGTTGGCGACCCCCAGGGGGAGAGCCTTCTCTGTTGGAGCGCCCACCCTCTGGAACGAGCTGCCCCCAGAGATCCGGGTGATTCCGGATCTCCCCTCCTTCCGCCGCGCCCTCAAGTCTTGGCTGTTTCAGCAGGCAGGACTCGCCTAGGGGTATTTTAATTGGTTTTAACAAAATTTTAATAGAGCGGCCAATTCAAATATTTATTTTTAATTATTTTAAGATTTGTATTTGGTATTTATGTGGGATTGTTTTAAACTGGCTGTAAGCCGCCCTGAGTCCTCCAGGAGAAGGGCGGGGTATAAATGAAATAAATAAATAAATAAATAAATAAATATTGAGGGTGGAGGTTCATCCTACATCTGAGCTACAGATATTTGCCACTATCGTATAGGCTATATTGTTTAAACAAAAGGAAGAGATGTAAAAAAGAGCAGCCTATTGTAAATGCATAGGATTCTTCCATGAATGAGGAATCCCACCATGGGGAGAACAGAGAGGCTCCACTCTTAGTTATTTGCAAAGAGCTACAATAGATCTCATTAGATGACAAAGATATACCGTATTTTCCGGCGTATAAGACGACTAGGCATATAAGACGACCCCCAACTTTTCCAGTTAAAATATAGAGTTTGAGCGAGGGGGGGGGAGAGAAAACTTGATGAGCAATATGCCAAACCACATGTGTAAAGGAATAAAATAGAATACCCGTATTTTCCGGCGTATAAGACGACTGGGCGTATAAGACGACCCCCGACTTTTGAGAAGATTTTCAGGGTTTAGAAAGTCGTCTTATTCACCGGAAAATACGGTAAGTAAGAGAAGATCTAGGAAATTCTTTCAATAAAAAAGCTTTCGGGTATTAAAACAGCTTGCAAAGATTTGATCATTTTAAAATTAGGAAATTATCAACCATAATACATAATTTATAAACGAAATCTATAAGCCAAATTATCTTACTTTCTGTAAGGATCATGTTAAAGTGTCCAACTAATCATTAGGCTGATAACATCTTCTCTATTCTTTCAACTGTTCTTAAATCCATTCATTGTTAGTAGTAGACAAGCAAGAAAACATTTCAAGCTTATCTAACAAACATAAGTTATTTCTGGTCTGTAAAAAGGCAGATAGGCAATTTAAATGCAATATTGTTGGATATTGAATATTGATGTACATAGCTTTAGTATGGATATGTATCTTCTAAATTCAACTTTGAAATGAGTGTCAGATTTTGGTAGTGTTTTTGAAGAGTAAAGACTCATTGACCTGGAGATACCAATTTTTTTCAATAGTGAGAATATTAAGGTTGCTGGTTTATAGCTTGCAACCAAAATATTTATTGAAACTGTTTCTAAGGCATAAGCAACTTCACACTAACATATTTGTTTAGCATATAATTTCTGAATACAATTAACATAAATTGGGACCAAAGTATTAAAGCAAAAGCCTGCTTTTTACACAATAATTCATAATGTGATTTTATTTATTTATCTCTTCTCTCAAAAGCGATCAATATCATCCCTGTGCCAAATCCATGCTTGAAAACTTGAACAGGTCCAGATAATCTATTTCAATCCAGGACCTTCTATAGTTATAACCACTTTCTTAAAGATTGGTCAATAGCTACTTAAAAGTTTCAGGGTACATATTCTAAAGGAACAGTTGAATATATCAGAAACAAATAATGGAATATCCCAGTGCAATTCATTAAAATCAGTATTATTTTCACTTGTTCATAAATTACTACAGAAGGATACAGACAAGTATCTATTCACAATGACAGAATCCTAAAAAGATAGTAAAATATCCAAACAATTTATTTTGTATACCTTGTACAGTTTTATAAGGTCACAGATTGGCAGGTTGTTTTGCATTTATGTTCAGATTAATGCATACATGTTAGGGATTATTTTTTATTTCTTATCAAGTTTTCATATGAAAGTAAACAATCTGTTTAGGTAATCTGATATCTTGTGAGGGAAAAACTGACAGCAACTGACAGGAAAAAACACAAACTTCACGTCTGGGGTTTCTGGGGGGTTGTTTTTTTAATGTTAACATTGTATTGTATAATGGATATTTTAATACCTGCCTGAGCCAGTTCTACATTGAAGGCTCTCAGGGCAAAGACCGAGGCACGTGATTCTGCAGGCAACAGCAGTGCACACAGGAAGCCTTCATAGTCCCGTTTTCTAGATATACAAAGAATAATTAAGAGCATTTGCTTTCATTACAAGCTCATTTAGCCAGTGGAACAGATAAAAAAGTTCTCAATTAAATTATTTTTTAATGTTACTTATTAATCAAACTGACATGGACGCCCAAGTGACTCCAAGCAAAGTACAAAAATCATTTTGCAGTTATTCTAAATCAAGGGGATATAAACTGGTACTCTCCATATAAGTCCAGTTTACAATTCTTAGAACTATAAAGGACTGATCTGCAGGCTGGCTAATGAGAATTGCAGTCTAGATCTTCTGGAGTGTCTAGGATTTGTTTTAAAATTAAGGTTACAGGCACATCATGTCTTGCTGTTCATCAAAAGATAGTTCTGGAAACTTTATTTGCCCAACAGACACAAAGCTGAAATATATTGCAATAAAATGATAGAATGGGTTGCACTATTTCAAATCACAGATGAGGTTCTGCACTTGTGAAGTCAAATCAAATCAAATTTATTATAGCTCAAAGACCAAATACAGTAACAAATTTAACAGTAGAACTGTTACATACATACATATAACAGAAAAAGACTAAGTATAATAGGATTTATAAAAAGTTTATGGGGAAAAATGAAGTTCTAACGCATGGTGAATTAATTAACTTTCTATTTATAGGCATGTTGCAAATTAAGATTGAAGGAGCGCAACGCACTCCATCACTCTGGCCATTCCCCCCTTTAGTTTTAGGTAATCAAAAAGCTTTGACTCCAAAAGGAGATGGTTTTATTGTACAACACCATATATGCTTTACCCAACATGCCTTTAGAATACATTTAAGAGAGCCTGGCGTTCTATGTTCCATGGGTTGCAAAGAGTTAGACACGACTTAGCGACTGAACAACTCTATTTTTTGGAAAAAAATAAAGAACAGTCCTGAAAAATGGGCAAACTATTCTCTGGTTGCCACTGCAAAAAATAAAAAAATAAAAATCAGGGGATGGCACTCCAGAGGACAAGCACAACGCACACTGCACTAGGAATGGCAGTCTAGCCAAGAGGTGTGTAGAAAAGCACAAGGGGGAAACTGGGTCTCTTTGGGGGACGCCTGGGATATAGAAATATACAGAATATATAGAATTCATGTTAGCTTCTTCCTAGAGAAGCTAGGAAGTTAATGCACTCTCCCAAGCAGCGTTAAGACGATGGCCTCGGCTTGCGGGTCGTTCTCAAGGGCGATTTGAAGCAGATTCCGAGCCTCTACGTCAGGGGTTCTCAACCTTGGCTTGAAATTCTGAACACCTGAAGTTGAGGATCTTAAGGAGTCGGTCGAAACGACCGACTCCTTAAGACCCTCAACTTCAGGTGTTCAGAATTTCAACGGTTCCAACTCTTGGGGACGAGATGCAGTGTAATAGACTTATATACGTTTAGTTTATCCGACCCTCCACGGTTTGGTGTGGGGCGTCTCCCCAACGGGACCAAATCCTGCTCAGTCCAGCCCAGGCCCGACCCCGAAGCAGCAGCCGCTGGCCTTACCGCAGCAAATCCAGGCAGTAGCGCTCCTCTCCTCCCGCACTCGGCTGGTGAGAAGCGGCCAGGGCGGCCGGCGCGCGCCCTCCGAGGCTGGCGGGGCTCAGCAGCCGCCCGCGCCCGGCGCGTGGGACCCGCAGCGCCCAAGGTGAAAGAGCCGCGCGCGAACTTCGACCCAGTGCCGCAGCGCCCGCGGAGGCCGCCATGCTGTTAAGGCCACGCCCCTGTTGTCAATCACCTCCCCCCCCGGCGCCGCTTCTTTCTCACGGCCGGCTACGTCATCGGAATCACTCGGAGGGCTCCGCCTCTGCTGTCAATCATTTGGCGCTTAACTGCCCCCCCCTTTCTTAGTTTACACGTGCTGTTCCCCAATCGGATGGAGTTGCCTCATAGACGTCTTATTTCTTAACGCGTCCGTCTCCGTTCAGACAGCCGACCTTTCTGCCTTGAAATCGGGAAGTTAGGGGCGTCCCAGTACCGACTCCATCGGATGCCCCCTCCCCGGATAGATTTCGATGGACGTTGCTTTCCGCTTCTTTGCAAAACTCTTCGTCCTCTATTAATTACAATAGATTTGTTTCAGCTATAGAGGAAGTCACACTGAACTTAGTAGGCTTGTCTGATTAGACCTCCATAGGATACCATTAACAAAACAGTCCCTTAACACAGTACTGTATGGAAATGTTGATTTGATCATTTGAGCTCTTTAATCTTAAATTATATGAGAAGAGGGGGAGAGAGGGATGTCTGGGAAATGCCCAAGCAGGCAGGAAGGAGGACTCAAGCAAGGAAGTAGCCCTGAATCCTTGCACAGCTGCAAGAGATCTTGCACTGAAACCCCCTCCCCCAAGCATAGCATCTTCTCTATCTGTTCCCCAAGTGGAAGACAAGCAGTCTGGAGAAATTCCTGTATTAATAAACTGAACATAATAAAGTAGTTAGTTTAAACTGTGCACATGTAGATCTGTTTATTTGTATTTGATAATATATGAACAATTATAAAATGATACTTAAAACATTCCATAAGGAGCTCATTCAATTTCTATACATCACCATATACATACTGCTCATCACATACACGATTTTAGGCAGTGAACAAAGTCAAAAATAAATATAACACAATGAAAAATAATCCACTATGGCCCTCCTCTCCAAAATATAATCAAATAGATTGTGAGAGGACAGCAGAAAGCCCCCCCAGAAAGAAATATTTTGGAGAATATTAAAAAGCAGAATATTATATTTCCCAAAGGAATACAGTAATGAGAAAGAAAACAGGAACCAAAAGGTGGTAAAGTCTTTTCTCAAAGTTGTTATATACCATGCAGGGCTTTCATAATCTGCTTGGGGAGCACTTGTTGACATATACTGATCTCAATCATATGTAACAGCAAATAAAAGTTAAAAAGCCATTTTAATTTAATCATCTCTGCAAGTTCCGCCATCTTCATCCTCCATTGTAGCAATATCAAATCTTCCCACTTTTGAGCTATAATAGTCTTGTTGCAGTCATCCATATATAAAAACAAGTTCCATGACTTTTTTTTCTGTCCATTAGTCACAAAAGAAAAGTCTGGTTTCAGATGTACTTTAATCTTTAAAATTCTCTGAATTAATCTATGCATTTGTATTCAGATCTGTTTAGCTTTTTTGCATGTACACCAAACATGGTAAAATATGCCTTCATGTTCTTTGCATTTCCAGCATGGAAAAATATCACTTCGCGTTCTTTGCATTTCCAGCAAAAATTCAAAGTATCTTTATATATTCTAGAGTCTGTTTCTGTTTCTCTGGTGACAAAAATGAACAATACATAACGTTACATGAATTGTCTTTAAGGCTAGAACATAAAGTAAATTTCAGACCTTTCAGCCACAAATTTTTCCATTGATCCATTTGTATATTATAGCCAAAGCTTTCAGCCCATTTTATTATACATTATTTCACTTGTTCTTCTGTCTCATTTCAACAAAAGTTTATACATTTTAGCAATAAAGATCATCATGAGGACATAAAGGAAAGGGGATGTGATGGCTCAGTGGTGAAAAATGCTGAGCTTGTCGGTTGGTAAGTTGACAGCCGGGGTTTGAGACCCGAGTGTGCTTCCCCAAACTGGCTTCTTCCAGGTGGTTGGGTAAGATGACAGCACCCAGAATTCCATAGCTACCAAGATTGTTGGTTGGAGACTTCTGGGAACTGCTGCAGTCCCAACACATCTGAAAAAACTAAGCTGGAGAATGCAATAAACACAACAAAATTATAGCACCTATATCAGTTGTGGAGATTCACCAATTCTTACATCACTATCAAATAATATCTAAAGCAATTGCATGTAAGTCTCATTCCCCCCCCCAAAAAATAATAATTCTGGAACGTCATTCATTTCCTTTGTCACCAACTGCAGGTCCCTGCATGTCACAGGATGTTCCTGGCAACATCCATTAAATAAACTGCCCACACGCATCACAGGCAATTCTTCAAAAGTTCCCAGCAGTGTCTTAGGAAACATTTACTCCAGTACAGATCACGTGTGCCAAGTGATATCTCTGCCAAGAACAAAACAAAACAAAACATTCTGGACAAGGGACAGAAGCAATTTAAATATTTTGTCTACCCAAACTAAATGTTAGTTTAACTCAGATCATGTATTCCCATCTGCCATTCTCAGCATTAGTCACAAAGCATTATTTTAGGGCAATATTTTCTATTACAGAGAAAATGTATGTATATTGAATGGTAGCCATCCAATATTTTGAATTTTAATTCCCAGTAGATCAGCCAACATGGCCATTAGCAAGGCACTTTAGATAAAAACCTATGGGAAACATACATTTCTTTTAATATGGGATGGTTCCAGGGCAACACATATAAATAAGGAATTATACCACAAATCACAAGTATCAGAAAATCTTGCCTTGTAGGTGCTTTAGGACTGCATGCTCCTCTGCAGTCCCTGAGCCAGCAAAAAAATTTTGCCAGAATAATTTAACATTAGTTATTGTATATAAATAGCAAAATGTGAACTCCTGAGTTAGAAAAATCCTAGTTAGGATATATCAGTTCTGTTGAAGCCTGCAGAATATGTCTACTAATACAGGAAATAAGTTCAGCATTAAGCAAATAAAATACAGGGTTATTTAATTTGAGGTAAACAAGGATTACCTTGTTTTTTTAGTGTATTTTTCTAAACTGGTTTTTTAAATTAACTAACATGTTTAAAACCTAAGCCAAATGAATGAATTAACTATCAATATCTAACCCTTTAGGGAAGCTGTACTTCCATACTTGAGGATACTCAAAATCAGTACAACATATCCCTTTCTTAATCCCCTTCCTCATCTTCCTTTTTTACTAATTCATATTTTTAAAACTTATCTCGGCAACCTTTAAAAACTTAGAAAATATTCTTTTGTTCAGTGAAT